CTCAGAAGTGAATCATTCAGGATCATGTGTTAAATTCTTGAAGCCTCATATCAGAGACTCGTACTTTAAAGTCTCTGAGCCACAGGAAGCCAGTGCAGAGACCTAAGAGCTGGACTAATGCGACCGTACTTCCTGGTTCCAGTCAGGACTCGAGCTGCAGAATTTTGAATAATAGCTCTCAATTGTGAACAGCACAGACCTCCCAGAGTCTATGTCATTCCAACCTGTGAGCAGCTCAAAGAAGAAAGTGCCTCTTGTAAAATAAAATTGGAGTGTTCTTATAGCACAATGGCTGACGCATGTGTGGAGCTGCTCCACTATGTTCTGTGCTGATATGAGCAATGAGAGCCATTTTTCATTTCAACTAGATGATTTTATAAGTGGACAAACCCACTATCGCAGCTGCTGTTAAATATTATTTTTATTATGATACAAAAGTTACTTTGTTCAGAAGGGGCGACAGTAGTTGGCAGAGAACTGGTCTTTGGACCTAATGATTGTGGGTTTGATCCTACTACGGCCCATGTCATCTGCTCCCACTGATGTCTGCTGCCGTTGTGTCCTTGGGCAAGACACTTTACCCCACAATGTCTGAAGCCCCCGCTGAAAGACTAAGACCATGTCTTTGATGACGGAGAAGCCACCTGCAGGAGGATCAGCTTCGAGACTTGGGTGGCAGCTCTGATTGACACCCCTCCCACCAAGAAATGGATGAATAAAGGGGAAGAAAACGATATGACATGACATGACAGTTACATAGGACTAAATTGTAATTTTTAAATGAATGAAGTCCTCATTTTAATTTTAATTGTTATTCATTTCCCATTCTTTTTCAAATGAGCCCAGCAGTTGGAATTACCTACCAGGTTTATGGTTTTTCTGTCAAATCTTCCCAGGTGTTCATAGCTCCATCATTTGTGTCTCTCTGTTGACTTCCTATAGTGATTCTTCTAAAAGCTCCATTATTGTAACTACAGTGGCTCTTTGAAAAGTGCCAATTTCCAACAAAGCTTTGCTTTTAGAGACTGACCTTTGCACTGATGCCTTTACTTGTTTGACAGTTCAAACAAGGAAACCTGTGAGCAGTCTTTTGAACTACTTTTCAGGAAAGGTATACTTACATATATTTGTCCAAATCAAAAACATTGAATACTTTGTTTTTGTGTACGATAATTTCTGTTTAACACATCAGAGGAGGCTTTGTCAGTCATACCACAATATGACTGACCCACTGCCCCCTGTGAGAATGTAGGGGGCAGTGGAACTTTGCAACGAGACAGGTGTGACCCCCGCCTGTATAATCATTTCCTCAACAACATTCTCCTCAGCCAGCCGTAAAGTCGCAAAAGAATGCACTGATATCATTCTGCATTTAACAGAAGCAGCGACACTGGAAACTGAAACTACAGCTTTGCATTTGGAGGAAGGAGTAGGTCTGCTTCCCTGTGTAACGTTTGAAGCACACAAAGCATTTATTGATCTGCCGCCATTTTTGTTAACATTTGTTCTCGGCTACTGCGCATGTTTAAATGTACTTAGGGGAGTGGTGAAGTCAGCGCAGGCAGCAGCTGTTTTGTTCCACTCTGGAGGCTGTTTCTCAACGCCTGCGTTTCACCCCCCTGAAACACCGTCTCCATGTAAACGAAAGACCAATCCGATACCCATTTCTTTCATTTCAGTGTCACAAGGCATAGATAGGATCACTCAGGGTGTGCCAAAAGACAGGAAGCATGTAAAGATGTTAAAAGGTCAAAATATAGTCTTTTGTGCAAGATTTATTATGAACAATAACATTAAAAGTGACTATTGCAGTTCAAAGGACAGTAGCACCGACAATGCAGATTTTATATTACAATCCGACCAAACTCACAGAGAAAAATGAGCAGTTAGACGCACCGAGTATACAAAGTAGACACACTGAGATGGGACACTGCGCACTGTGGGGAAGAGACGACTCACAACCACAAAATACATGAATAGAAAAAAGCTCAGAACTGATGTGCAGCTGCATGATAGTGTAAAGACAGATACAGACCAAGCAACTGTTGCTTTTTAAACTCACCACTTTGTCAGGAGGAAGCAAAAACTTTTGTGATTCTATGAAAAAATCTGTAAAAAAAATAAAAATAAATAAGTACTGTACATCGAGGAAAGAGTGAAGCCCTCAGCGTAGAGCTATGGGTCAGAGTGGTTTTGCCTTGCCTGAGTGTGTGTGTGTGTGTGTGTGTGTGTGTGTTTGTGTGTGTGTGTGTTTGTCTCTCCATGGACTAGCACCAAAGTACATTAGTGACATGTCTGTACCATATGAACCAGCCCGGGCTCTGAGGAGCACAGGGACGGGACTCCTGCTGGTGTGTGTGTGTGTGTGTGTGTGTGGTCTGTGTTGTGTTGCATGAGTGAGAGGGATTGCAACCAAATAAGTGTGTGACCCCTTTTCAAAATATGCATTGTGGTTTAACATGTGTCTATCCCCTTTACTGTTTATTGACTTTTGTAAAATACATTTGGACATTCGTTATACACCTCCCAACACATGTCTGCTTCTGTTTTGTTTAAACTTGATGTATCCTACATGGGTCCAATCAAACCGGATTCATTGGAAAAGCTGCATTCTGCAATTAATCACAAGAGTCGATTATAATTATATCCGAGCTGCTTAAAACCCCCACTGTCCTCAGAGCAGAGATCAAAGCAATACGCCCATGCCTCACTCTTGTGCATCAGATCAGACTTGTTTATGTTGTGTAAGGACCCCTGCGTGGCATGTAGGTGTCCCTCCTTGTCCCTGTCAAAACAAACGCCTACTATCAAGCCAGTTAAGCCAGACTCCTTAAAAAAAATGTATATCCTTAACTGAACACTAGGACTCCAATAATCATGAAACGACTAGAACTTCTTGATTGCTCCCATTCAAACCGAAAAGAAAAATATTAAAACAGAAATTCTCCCCAAAAAGTAAAAACCTTTTATTTTTTTTTACTCTAACTCATATTACTCAGAGCTACACATAATTTTAAGCAGGGTCTTCAGGCAAAGTGGGGTTAAATGTCTTGCCCGAGCACAAAACGACAGCAAACATCAGTGGGAGTCGGTGGAGGGTATAACATGCCAAATGCAAGCAAGTAAACAGTGTGTTGCTATGGTAACTATTATAGCTGTGGTGACTAACTGTCCATATATATACAAAAATAAATCAGATTCATTCTTAAAACTAATGGCATAGAAATAAAATACATATTGAAACAGACTTTCAAGAGCAAACATGTACATATGCTGAGATAATTACAATAAAAACTGTCAAATTGACTGCTCTGGGAATTTGAGTGATAACAGAAGTAGAGAAAGAGACAGTAAGGCCCAGTTTATAAGGAGACTATGCAGCAGTAAAACGCTATAGTTGGATGTCGGTTGCTACCCCCCGATCATACGGAGACTGTGTTCCAGGGGGGTGAAAACGTAAAGATCCAGCCTGCAGAGTGGGACAGCTCAGGCTGAGTTTACACGGAGACAATGTGGCAGTAAAACGGTATAGTTGGATGTCGGTTGCTATCAACCGTTCATACGGAGACTGTGTTCCAGGGGGGTGAAAACGTAAGTGTTCAGATCCAGCCTGCAGAGTGGGACAACTCAGAAACGCTGCACAGCGGGGGCTCTCTTTCACACCCGCGAGAGGGGAAAAGGTGTGAAATCCCCCTCTGCTCTGACCCCCACCTCCGCGCTGCTCCCCGCACGTAAATTTGGACATGCGCAGTAGCGGAGAACAAACAAAAACAAAAATGGCGCCGCGCGCACTAACTAGCTTCGTGGGCTTCCAGCGCGGGACAGAGGATAACTCTACTCCTTCGTTCGTCCAAACGAGACCACGCGAAGCTCTAGGTTCAGTTTCCATGTTCACAGCTGCTGTTAAAATGCAGAATGATGTTGGTACTTTCTGAGGGTCTGGCACAGGAAGTGAGTATACTGCCGAGAGGGGGGCTGGGCACGGGGCTGGGGGTCGTGTGAGTGTTGTAAAGTTTCTCTGCCCACTACTGGCTGGGCGCTAGAACTACATCGTTTTTCAACCTCATGTGAACGCTGAGAAATTTGCATTAGGAGCCTGGTCGTTTCTGTTAATAGCCTGGAAACGTCTGCGCAGCGTCTCAGTATAAACAGGGCCTCAGTGTTGTAAAGTTCCTCTGCCCACTACTGTTCGGGCGCTAGAACTACATCGTTTTTGATCCTCATGTGAAATTTGCATAAGGAGCCTGGTCGTTTCTGTTAATAGCTTGGCAACGTCTGCGCAGCGTCTCCGTCATGTCATGTGATAAGATCGATAAAAGAACCTTCATTCGTCCAAACATGGATAATCTCTGACCGTTTACTACTTGGCATTTTGTGTGTCCATTCCACAACAGGACAATAAAAGAAGGCATTGTTTGAAATCACATGTTTTGATGTTATCTGCGCAATACACTGTGATATACTGTCCGTGCGATCACAGCCCACCGACAGTTTCTACCTTCAAAGCAGCATTAGTGCTTCCATTAAAATCCTGTCACCCTTTTTTCCTCTTTTATATGGCTGTCGGCGGTGTCTAAGGAGAGGAGAAATCACAACCATTCAAATGCTAAGTGACTTTAACACTCCGGAGAATATTAGAATAGGAACAAACTGCTCTATCATCTTGCAGGGAGGAAATAGATGAGAGCAGTGTTTTTTTGAATATACCTTTGCAGAATCTCAGTCACAAGCCATTACCCTTGTAAAGATCAGTAGTACCTGCCACGGACTGCAGACGATACAGTGTCATTCTTTATTAAGACTTAACCATGTGCGAGAAGAATCGTTGGCAGCTGCCCTGGAGATGGTCTAGTTGATGGCATCACGTCAGCGCGTTTTTCAGTTCCTTTAGCGACCGCACCTTTCACATTATAAAGAACGAGCTTATCATGGCCGCAGATAAATCAATGAGGTAATTGCAGCCGGGTCTACTGCACTCTTGAGCCACGGGACAAGAGTTTATGAGTAGGGTAAGATTGGAAGGTGAAAAGGTGAACACTGCCCACATCCATCACTGGGAGAATCCTTATGTGTGTTGTCTTCTTTGTGCTTTGCAGGTCACCGACGGAGGGACGATTAAGCAGAAAATCTTCACGTACGATGCCATGTTTAATACCAATTACTCTCACATGGAGGACTACCGCAGACGCGAGGACCTAGTTTATCAGTCGACAGTAAGGTAAGCGCTGCATGGAAAGAGATTAGAGTTTCACTTTATGGCCATAATACACAAAGAAAACAGTAACCACACCTTACAAATGCCTCCATAAACATCTGGAATCAGGTCAGCTATAATTGTTGGCAAGACAGTTAAGCTAAGACCTATAATAAGGCCATGTATAATTGTGAGCATCATTTGTTAAAGATGGGGAAGTAAATACTGTTTCTTTTCCCAATCAAACTGTGAAAGTGTGAACAAATAATATCTACATTTTAGTCATTAGTGGATGGTTTAGGCTGAGAGATTATACTTTGGGCTAAATCAATCAATCAATCAAGTACTCACACACCCACTGATTGCCACCTCCCCGACCCAGAAATGGTCAAAGAGAAAGAAATTGGACGGATGGATGGTATCTATCTGTATGTGTTAGCACCATGAGGGCATGGGTGCTAAATGAGAGCGGACACATGCGGTTTCATATTGCATATTCTCGCATTGGTTCAAGATATTGCATCGATATGTGAGGTCAGGTTGACAGTGTTTAAATGACTATTACATTGAACTTACTATTACTATTACATTGAACTAGATCACCACCATCATCTTCATTCCCACCTCTGCACCTTCTCCACCGACTCCCACTGATGACTGCTGTCGTTGTGTCCTTGGGCAAGACACTTAACCCCACTTTGCCCAAAAACCCCCTCTGAACGATCAAGGCTATGCTCACACTCAGAGAGCAGCCGTTCTCCTGTGGACTCACCACCTGCGGAGGGTCAGTGAGGGGCTGGTGCTATGAGACTTGGGTGGCATCTCTGACTGTCACCCCCCTGACCCAGAAATGGATTAAAGGGTAGAAAATGGATGGATGGATGGATGAACAAGATCACAAGATTTCCCAAAAACTATCCAGAAAAGGTCACGTTTCTTTTATTCACAATTTTGGGCCTTATAAATCGAGCTAAGAGTTTTACATCCGGCTGAAATGAGAGGTTTTTCCGTCTCAGAATGAAAAGTTAACAGGGAAAAGAACAGGGAAAACTCATAAAAAAAATTGCAAATAATAATTCATAACCAATATATGATGTAGACTGATTGCATGCAACCATATGACAAGGTTTGGTTTGTTAAAATGTTGGTTTTGGCTTGCAGTCCATTGTCAAGATTCTAATTTTATGATTTATTTTTCTAATTTTGGGTTTTTTACAAGCTGTGAGTCAAAATGATCAACATAATGACAAATAATGGCTCGATACATCTCTCTCTAATACTAGTTTCACGTTAAGTAAGTTAAATAGCTGAAATAAAATTGACTTTTGAACACAATTATTCACTTCTATATTATTTATTATTATTATACATTTATACATACATACATACATACATGTTAGCATGGCAGGCCGCTTGTCTTATCTTGGCTTCAATTCCGCTTCCATTGCCATATCTTATTTGCATCAAAAAAAGTGATATTGTTCGTGTCAAAGGATATTTTTCTCCACTATTTGCATGATATTGAATTCTATAAAACCTATTGTGCATAAAAAAAACTATGACATCATCAATCGGTCAGTAAAAAAACACTTTATTACCTTCGCTGTAGTGAAGTGGGCCATTCCGACTGCTTATGTATTCTTTGGGGGAAAAAAAATTGCAATTATATAAAGTACTATAAAATAATAATAATGCATTACACACACTTACTTTTGAATAGCGTTTTTTTGTGTACATCTGCACATGTTAGCAGCTTGTGCTAATGGGCTAAAGTGAAACCACATGTGAGAGTGGACACATGTGGTTTCATATTTACTACCTACTTTTACTATCTACAAGTTCCGAAGTATAGCTCTGAAACAGTTTTTTTTTCTTTACAATTTTTATTTTTCTTCCTTTTTTCTGCCTGAAATGTTGCTGCAGTAAAGTGTTCCTCGTTTTACACTGGTTCAAAACAGAGCGGAGACCATTCAAGGACCGAAACAAGCAAATCAGGTGAAAATCCACTGGAAAAGCGCGCACTTGAAGTAAAATGCTAATTAAGTAATTTACTTTGGACCAAAGCAGAAAACATGGTTCGAACCAAGTGGCTACTCCACTTTGTGATCGGTCCTGCTCCACTTACAGACTGTTGTGACCTGAAGTGCATTTTATTATTACTATTGTTAGCTTTTTGCAGCTACTGGACACCTCAATTTCTTCTGGGGATCAATAAAGTATCTATCGATCTATCTATATTTCACATTCTGACTTTAGTTCAAGTAAATACACAGATCGGCGGTATCCGTTAGTCCTAATTGTTTGTTGTAAAATCTGACAAAATAGATAGATGGATAGAATTTTCTGTCAGACTCCATCTCTGCTTCTTGGTTCGGACCATTTTCTCTGCTCTGGTCCAATTTAAAATACAGAATGCTTCACTAGTATTTTTCAAAAAGTTAGCATTCCTCCAGTGGAGCTCTGCCTGATCCGCTTGTTTCGGAACGTGAATCCTCTCTGCTCCAGTCTGGACCAGTGTAAAACCATTTTACTACAGCAACATCTCAGGTAGAAAAAAAGCAAGACAGATAAACAATTGTAAAGCACAAAACCAGAACTATTTCAGTGGTACTTAGGACTTGCTGCAGTTTCCAGCGCATTCAAAAGTTTTTCAATTTTAGAAAGAAAGCAACACATAAATTGCCAAAAAGGTCTCTCGTATTACACATCACTTAAATAGATACATTCATTCTTCATCATTGAACTGAAACATCAGCCTTTTTCACTTTAAAGAACATCTCTAAAGTTTTTGGGATACATACTTCTTCAGATACTTGAAATTGTAAAGCGCTGTGACCTATTAGTGCTAATCTTCCCAAAGAAAGGAAGCAGCTGTAACTATCAGACGAGTGCCGATGCATAGATTAGTTTTTGTCCAATGACTGATGAGGTTGCGTGCATGAAATGAGTGAATGAATGAGCAGTCAATATGACGGCTTCGGAAGTGTAATTACTCATCTCATGTACATTTGTGGTCTTCACAACTTTGGTACTCGTTTCCGTTTCTTAACATTGTTTATTTCAATGCTGTTATTTTTTAAAATAAAATTATCTTTTACTTTTGAAATGTTACGAGTAACACACAGCTTACCGTCAGAGGTAATGAAGTTACCCTAGCAACACACCGTTTATACACTCAAAGATGGCGCCTCGTACGGTCGACATGGCTCTTTGCTGCTCTCTTTTTCTTTTGTTTTTACTTTTTAACTGCGCATCTGGCTGTTCCTACACCCGTGAGGAACTTATGAACATCCGACCCACCGTTCCCATGGACCTATTGCCTGTTTTCTTGGCATCTGCGGCTGATTTAGTTCATGTTCTAGCCAAAAAAGTGTGGGCCCGTAAAAAGGGAAAGCGCGGAGGCCTGCTCGTGCGTCTTAGGAGGAGAGGAGCGCGCACGGCTCTCCCCGGCATTTTTCTCTCCAACGTACGCTCACTGGGAAATAAGATGGACGAACTCGGCCTGCTCATGAGAAGAAACAAGGACTTCGCCACATCCTGTGTCCTCTGCTTCACTGAGACCTGGCTAAATGAGCGGATCCCGGACTGCGCTCTGGAGCTGCAGGGCTTTGGGCTGTTCCGCGCGGATCGCCATTGTGCGCTCTCAGGGAAGAGCAGAGGCGGTGGGCTGTGTTTCTACGTCAATACAAACTGGTGTAACGATGTGACAGTGATCTCCAAGCACTGCTCTCCTGCTCTGGAATATCTTTTCATTCATTGTAAACCATATTACTCCCCGCGCGAAATTGTTTCATTCATTCTTGCCTCTGTTTACATACCGCCATGCGCGGACGCGCGCGAGGCTCAGCGCGCACTCGCAGAGCAAGTACTGTGTATGGAACGCTTATACCCGGACTCTCTGATTATTATCCTGGGGGATTTTAATAAGGGAAACTTGAGCCAGGAATTACCCAAATACAGACAGTTTATCAAATGCCCGACCAGAGAGGAGAACACTCTGGATCACTGTTACATCACCGTGCGCGGAGCTTTTCGCGAGGGCTGGCTTGTTCCCAAGCCAGCCCTCGGCTTCTCAGATCACTCCATGATACATCTGATCCCTGCTTACAGACAGAGACTAAAGCTCTCGAAACCTGCAATGAGGAGCTCCAAATGGTGGTCTGATGAAGCTGTGGAAGAGCTGCGCGCATGCATGGAATCTACAGACTGGGACCTTTTCAGAGCTGCCACAGATAGTTTGGATGAATATACGGACACTGTGACGTCATACATTCACTTCTGTGAGGATAGCATCATTCCAACAAGGACCAGGGTCATCTATAACAACGACAAACCCTGTTTCACTGCTAAACTCCGGCAGCTCAGGAAAGCAAAGGAGTCTGCTTTCAGGGAGGGGGACCGCAGCGGCTACAAAGCAGCTAAATATCAGTTCAGGAGAGAACTGAAAGCAGCCAAGTCCCGGCACAGAGAACGACTACAGGAGCAGTTTGGTAACAACGATACTGCTTCTGTCTGGAGGGGCCTACGGGAGATCACCAACTACAAACCCAAAGCCCCCCCCTGTGCTGACGACCACAAGCTAGCTGACGATCTGAACTTATTTTTCAGTCGCTTTGATGCTGCCCCTGACACCTCTCCCTCCCCCCACCCCCCACTACTCTAACGACCCACCCATCAGCCCTGCCCCCAGCCTAACAATAGCCGCTAAAGAGATTAAACAACTCTTCTTGAGGCTGCACCCCCGCAAAGCTCCTGGCCCGGACCACGTGTCTCCGGCCACTCTGAGGCACTGCGCCAGTGAGCTTACTCCTGTGTTCACGGACATTTTCAACACCTCTCTGCAGTCCTGCCATGTCCCGGCCTGCTTCAAATCCTCCATCATTGTCCCCGTCCCGAAGAAGCCCGGGATCACAGGACTCAATGACTACAGACCTGTAGCACTTACGTCTGTCGTCATGAAGTCTTTTGAACGCCTGGTTCTCTCCCATCTCAAGTCCCTCACCTCCCCCCTCCTGGACCCCCTG